TTGCGCATGCGTATACTCTTGCGCATGCGTATACTCTTGCGCATGCGTATACTCTTGTACATGTGTATACTCTTATGCATGCGCGTCATTGACAGAAATTCTTTCTATGATATGTAAGCATTTGGAAGTGAAGTTTTTAAAAGAATAAAACAGAAAAGTATACGTTTAAATTTATCTTGTGTAATTATTAAAATAATAATGACAAGTGCAAAAGAAGAAGAGTCCCTTGAAAATGTATCTAATACAAGTCTTGTCGATTATTCGGCTATGTTAGATTCTGGTCAATTTGACAATAAAGAATTAGGTACAATGAAAGGTGATAGTATAGGAGATACTGTTTATAGTGCAAAATGGATACTTAATACACTTATATCTTTATCAAAAGTAATTTCACATCAATAATATATATTTATTAAATAATACTATATATATAAAAGATTTTCATTAATTTATTCAGGTTCAAGATGTTGGTTGGACAGAGGAATTAGAAAATGATTTGTGTATATTATGGGATATGACTGCAGAAAAAGACATAGCCATGTATTTATATGAAAATGACTATTTAAATATAGTTCAAATTTCTTTAGAAACTTCTACTGTACCTAGATTAACAGTATGATTTTTATCAATTTTATCCTAACCTAACATATTTATGTAATATAGAAAATAACACTAAAAGCTTAAATTATAAATTGAGATATTTAGAAAATTTGTTATATCATAAAGGAAAATGTAATATGCATGTTATTCTTTTTGAAACATATTTCATAAATGGTGGAACTAATTGGGTTGAAAATTATCAGACATAGAACAATAGATCTTGAAAGTGAACAGTATAAAATTATTTATTTTTAGGAGATATTACTTGGTATTATTGGAAACATATGTTGTCAAACGTGTATATTGGAATCAATAGGAAATAATAAGCCACTTGTGAAAATAATTTGGAGTAATCTTTTGTCAGATGATACAGAATCTTTACATCAGATTTTTCGATTATTACAAGCAGTCATTTGGGATATTAGAAGAAATCCTAATTCTCAATGGGTTGATAATATTAAAGAGTGTGAATTTTTTAACGACGTTGTAATTTTTGTATTAAATAGTTCTACCAATAGTAAGTAAATCAATAAATAATGTGTGCTCTTTATAATAATTAAGTATGTGCTATCGTAATTTTAGATTTGATTTATAAATGTTCCAGATGATTTGCTCATTACAACTTTAGATTTACTTCTTTCAATTTCAAAACTAACCAATACCAATTTTATATTAGAAATACTTAACATGGAAAAATTGATTCCTGCACTTTTAGAGTGTTTCATTCAACTTGTTCCACAACAAAAATCACATTTCACAGATTCAGAAATAAGAATGATTGAAAAATGGCTTACCATAATGTCAACTATTATGAAATTCAAACAGACAATAGAAAACAGTGACAATAATGAAAACATTATGATATTAATGGATATTATACTCAGGATATTACAACCATATAAACATAAGAGCAATTTGATTCCACTTGATGAAAATTCTGCATTGTGCATTCAGGAATGTATTGAAATAATATTATATATACAAAAAACTGAAATATGCATTATACCAGAGATCAACAGTATTATAATAAACATCATCTGCAAGCTTAAATCAAGTATTTATATAAATATATATGAATATTGTTAATAATTTATTATATTTATATCATATATATATATAGAAACTTGTTCATATTGAAATTTGATTAAATGTATTATATTTTACAGCTGATCATGACGATTTTACGAGTCATCTAGATGATATAGTTATCGAACTTATTGACTATTTAGAAAGATATTGGGTTGAAATGTTAGGATTATATACCATTGACCAGATAAAAGATATTTTATGTATTTGCGATAAAAACATTGTAAATAATTTCATCGAATTTATTAAACAACGACCTAATATTTCGCAGCTTAAATTAGATAAATTATCAGAAGCGTATTCTTGTCTTTCTTAAAAAAAAAAAAAAAAAAAAACGAAAAAAAAAAAAGAAAAAAAAATGTATATGAGATTAATGATGAAAGCAATAAATTTTATATTTAACGGTTCAATTATTATTATTATTATTATTCTAATAAATTTCATAAAAATTTGTAAAAAGATACTTACATCTAACGAACATTTTGTTTTTTTCTTTGATTTTTGCCATTGTACAAAGTAGAATGATTTCTAAATTTGATTAACACGTTTAATTATTATTAAACATTTCTTTTTTTTTTTTTTTGTTGATCCTTCTCATATATGAAACAAATTTTTCATTTTTTTTCTAAAATCAAACTTATGTTATATATGAAATAAATATTTAATATTGTATATGTATAGATACTTTAAATATAATGTTAGTTTTGTATTATAATCTAAAATGTGTAATATAAAAAAAGTTAGTATATGAAACGAACAGTATAAAAATATATAAGAAGACCTCTGTGAACTTTTGTTGATTTGAAACATCTGCAGTTTTAAGTTCGAGGTTTTGCATTTTAAAGATCAAGTAAACATAGTACTTTTATCATCATTACATTGCATTATTGTAATAACAACGTCATATGTCTCAACTCAGTAAAACAGATAAATGTCTTCGTCTATATATATATATATATATATATATCTATAAATGTAATTTTTTTCCATTAAGATAAATCCATTTATCAGTTTGAAATTGTCGATTAGATTGTCATTTTAGTTGCTTTACTTCATTACATGAGAACTCTAGTCAAGTATATACAGTTATAAAGCAAGATGGATTATTCGAAATTTTATTCTAAGATTACTCTTAGAAGAAGAGAAAATCCAATTCGACGAATAAGTGAGAAACATTTGAAATATTACAATTTTTGTTTTGTTTTTTTTTTTCATATTAACAGTATAATAAGTAATATTACACACATATACATACATATTTCATGATATTATATTAATTCTAGCGGAAGCTTATTTAACAAGTAACAAATCGGATGTAATGAGTTTTGCTGGTGGATTGCCAAATACTGATACTTATCCTTTTGAAGGAATTAACGTTTCGTGCAAAGATAAAACCAATTTGTATCTTAAAGATAAGGATTTAGCATTGGCCCTTCAATATGGACCTGCTAGCGGGTAATTATTATTCAAACATTTATTACATTGTATATTTGTATTGAACGTCATATTTAAACAATGTTTCTCATGTATAGGTATTTACCTTTATTAAAAAAGTATCGAGAATTGCAATGTAAATGGCATAATCCTAAACGAACTGATTGGAACGTAATGTTTTTTGCTGGCTCCCAAGATTGTTGTTCAAAAGTTTTTGAAATGTTTCTTAACGAAGGTGATCCAATTATGGTTCAGTCACCGACTTATACAGCTACGATCAATTCAGTGAGTTGACAATTATATCTCTGATTAGATTGTTTTGTTTAAATATACAGTAAATGATATACTGATATACTGATATATAATAATCCTTTGAATTGATCAAAGTCTACTTTGGTAGACGGTTTTCCGCATATTTGTTGAATTTCTTATAAAATATTAAACATTGTTAATATCTCGTTACAGTTGGTGTCCTTGAATCCCGATTTTATTGAGATAAACCAGGATAACGATGGTATCATACCTGAACAAATAATAAATGTTTGCGAGAAAAGATTAATCGATGGGAAACCATTACCGAAGGTAGGTAATCAAAATACTAATCAACGTGAAAGAAAATCATATTTGTCCTATCGAAAATGTTCTCTCTTTCTCTCTCTCTCTCTCTCTCTCTCTCTCTCTATAATTTATAATAATAAATAATTATTTGCAATTAGTTAATATACGTCAATCCTACTGGTGCAAATCCAACGGGAACTGTATTAACCGAGAATCGTAGGAAACAAGTTTATGAATTAGCACAGAAATACAATTTCCTTATTGTAGAAGATGAAGCTTATTGTTTCATTCATTTTATGAATAAACAACCTACGTCTTTCTTTTCATTGGACACTGAAGGACGTGTAATAAGGGCTGATTCATTTAGTAAAATTATTAGCGGTGGTATGAGATTAGGTTGCGTCTCAGCTAACAACGAACTTCTGTATAAATTGTCAATGCATGTAGAAAATAGCATTTTACAAGCCAATTCATTGTCACAGGTAAAATCAAATGAAAAAAAAAAACAAACAAATACATATATATATATATATATTATTGTGACAATTGAAAATAATATCCATGGTTCTTGCTATTTGAAACAGGTGATCGTTTATAAATTATTTGATTCGTGGGATGAAGATCGATTCAATAAACATTTCAAAAGTCTTCAAGATTTTTATCGAGAAAAACGTAATAAAATGTTAACAGGAATTAAAAAGCATCTTACAGGTAATTGTTACAGTACTTTATCTTGTAATAATATAAAAATATAAAAAAAACAAAAAAAAACTATTATACAATGTTATCAGATTTAATTATAAAAATCTTTGCAACAGGATTGGCCGAGTGGACAGAACCTAAAGGTGGTTTTTTTATATGGATCAAATTAATTGGAATTAATGATACGTTTCATTTTGTTCAGAACAAATGTATACCAAATGGATTATTCGTTGTTTCTGGAAATGCATTTTATTATGATACTAAAAAACCAACTCAATACTTACGTTTATCTTACAGTTATGCGAATGATTATGAGATTGATAAGGTCAGTTTATTTTTTTTTCTTTTTTTATCTATTAAATTTGTCAATTATTTAAACATGAAATTGCAATACAAGCAGCAAATATTGATAGATACTTCTTTATTTTGTTTGTTTGTTTGTTTGTATGAATAATATATTAATTTGATTTTATATATATATACAGGGATTATCAATAATGGCAAAATTGATACGAGAAGAAAATCAAATGAAAATTTTGACACGTTAAAACAATTTATAGTTATGATTCTACTATATTCTTATTTTTTTTTGTTAGAAGACTCTAAAGGAATAAAATATTAATTCTTAAAAAGTGCACATACTTGGTAAAAATTAGTTAAAGTGCACTGTGGGTGTTTGACACCCCCCGCCCCCAAAGTGTTTGAAGAACGCGTCTCCTGAAGTCGCTATTTAATATTTAGACCTCGCAATAATTTTCTTTTTTTTTTCAAAATAGAATAGATTTTATATACCCAACTGAATTAACACTAGATGGCACTAGACGACAAATAACCCATTTTTTTTCTCGAATTCAGTAACATTTTCGAGAGATCAAACATTTTATTGGGATGTCAAACAACCCTATGTGCATTTTAAGGATTAATGTAGGAAATATGATTTAGAATATCAAAAATGAATTATTGAAAACAAAGATAATTGGCAATTGAGTATTTTTAATCATATTTTTTCTATTATAAATATTTTGTTCGGAATATCTTTTAGAAATTTCAGTTACATATATATATATATATATACTTACATAATACGTTCTCTTAATATACACATTTATTTAATATATACTAAATATATACTATACTAAATATATAATATAATATTAACCGTATACTTATATTCGCAATATTTACTCAATACTAAATTATTCTATGCAATTCAATTGATTGTTATTATTGAATAATATATATATATATAAAGTTTACACATTAGTTTCTTAGAAAAACATGTTTGAACATATTTATTTCTATTCGTAAGAAATACAATTCAAATATTCTATCTAAATCTATAATTCGATTTAATACAATCATATTCCGGAGTCTTATTGTTTTCCTGTTTTTTTTTTGTTTTTTTTTCTTTTTTTTTTTTAGTTATTTTCTTGTTAATCAGTTAAGCGTGTTTGACGATTATATACGTCGTCATGTCACGAGATGTAACAAAATTCGTCGTGCTATGATCCGTCATGCGTATAAAGTTTGTTTTATTTTCTAAAATAAAGTTGTCTCTTTTTGACTATCCAATATTTTAACAGCGCTACTGTATATTCTACGTTTGACGACTATAACCGTCATCGCTTGATTATCGCGACACACACCAGAGAGCGTACTCTGCGCACAGATCATCGGCATGCACTTTTTAACTGGTTAATAGAAATATATATATATATAGATATATATGTATGTATATTTGACTAAATATTAATAATATATAAAATAGATAAAATATATATATATATATATGGATATAAAATCCACTAAATAAACACATACATAATACGTAATTGAACAAATTGATAAAATGATCTCTCATTCCATTATTATTATTATTGTACGCAAATAATTACAATTGTTTCCATTTCTAATACAATACAAATATAATATATTTGTATTTCATTAAATATAATCAAGTAGAGAGTATACTAATTGAGGATAAATAAAATGAGATGCAAATAATTAAATGACATTTAATAATAATAATAATAATTTATTATTATTATTATTATTCACTTTTTACACAGTTATGTTTATTTAAATATTGCTCTGTATGTTATATGAACACGTGAACAGATTATTGACAAATAATTGAAGATTTAACGTGTAGAAATCAATTCTTAAATTCATTTTTATATTTGAAAATAATTTTTTTTTTTTTTTTGGTTCTCGTTGAAACTCCACATTTGTTTAATCCATCCTCGTATATATATATATATATATATGTATTATAAATAATATCTTATAATTTGTATTCATGAGTATATAAAAGTACAGGCAAACACTTAGTGTTCTTGTTTGTTTGTTTGTTTGTTTGTTTCTATTAAGAAATTGTTTTATTATAAAGTACATCATAAATTGTTCTATACGACACTAGAAATTCAACATTACGGTTATTAATTTCACCTTTTGATTTTTAATAACGATCACTCTTTACAATAATTCAATTTAATAATATCCTGAAAATATATAAAGAAATAACTTAAGTAATTTTTGTTTGTTTGTTTGTTTGTCTCTTCCCTACAAAAGCTTAACTTAATTTCAATTTCAAACATAAATGTAAAAAAAACAAAAAGGTTTTCTTTTTTTTTTTTTTTCAATCGATTGTACCACCTAATTGATTTGATTCTATTTGACATAACCTTTAAATATAAACTTATATATATGAATGATGAATTAATAGATAATTTTCAGATTGTTTCGTAGATAAAATGAATTATCTATAACATACGTTAAACGATTTCTATCATAGAGTAGTAAATCGTTAATAAGCGAGGTTTTATAACGATCTTATTCTAAACATGAAAGAAAAGGAAAAAAAAGGAAACATTGTAATAATAAAACAAAAATTAGAAGTGAAATCTTCAAAAAANAATTCCTATATTGTTGTCTCTTTTTCTCTTGTTATTTAGTGAAACGCGGCCGTTTCATTGCCGCCCACCGCTCCGTTACATAGCCGCCTACCGCTCCGTTACATAGCCGCCTACCGCTCCGTTACATTTTTTCAAATCACACCCATTCTAAAGAACTGCTGTAGGATAATTGTATTCTTTTCTTATTTAGTGAAACGCGGCCGTTTCATTGCCGCCCACCGCTCCGTTACATAGCCGCCTACCGCTCCGTTACATTTTTTCAAATCACACCCATTCTAAAGAAGTTTTCACTTCCAAAAAAAAAAAAAAATAACAACACAAGAACGCACAAAATAATCATAGGAAATAGTTCAAGCACAAATTATCTAACAACACATTTGCTTTATTTTATTTTATTTTATTTTATTTTATTTTATTTTATTTTATTTTATTTTATTTTATTTTATTTTATTTTATTTTATTTTATTTTATTTTATTTCATGTTTTTTTTTGTCCTTTTTTTTATACTTTCTATTTAATCAGTCGAAAAATTCTCGCAGAGCAGTCTATTGCAATAACATTTAATGCATATAATAATAATAATAATAATAATAATAATAATCACTATTGACAAAATATAATTACTTAAATGTCTATGATTTTCTGCGTTGATAATTCGCTTTTTTCGCAAAGTACATTTGAATAAAAATTATTTTAACATGAATTTTTCTTAATTTGTCCCAGTCTTAGAAATAAAAATGTGTCGTGTCACATAAAACTAATTATTACCAACTAATGCATTATTATCAAATTCAAAAATGATAATCCTCTTTTTTTTTTTGTTTTCTCTTTTATTCCTAATTTTTGAAATGTTATTATTATTATTAAAAAATAATTAATTCTTATTTTCTAAGTTATGTGGGCAGCGCCATCGCTTTATGAATTGAAAGATATTAGAAAAATGTTGATACTTGAAGTATTATTTTTTCATATATTGATTATCGATATGTGTTTTCACATTTTTCTTTTTCTTATACAATTATTATTATTATTTTGTTTTTTGTTTTCTTATCTAATCTTATTCTCCCATGAAGAAATTTTTTTTCTAAATCTTTCACGATAAATATCTTTTCGAATAATTCCCTCCCCCACAACGTATGTGTGGATACTCGAAGCGTTACATAAAATTAACACTAGATATACCACCATTTTCTACTATACTAGTCAACATGATGACTGATCTGGTCTGACATATCTAGTGTTAATTAAGTCAATTGAATTTAAAAAAAGAAAAAATAATCTTCAAACGATAGCTCTCTCTCTTTCTCTTTCTCAATTCTTATTAAATACAATTGGATAAATTGTCAGGAAAAATTTGCTAAATATTTCTTAGTTTAATATATAAAAATATAATTTTTGCTAATCTCAGTTCGTAATAGAGAAAAATTGGAAGATGCAATAATAAAATCGTATAATAATTTAAATCGTGTACGGATATTGAGAGACATAATCTCTGATCATATATGGTAAATTGTAGGTAGGTAAATTGTGCTTGTGAATAGCCAATCTTGCCAAATGACAAAGTGATCTAACTTCTTTGACTAAAGGTTCAGTGAGGTAGATTTGACCGTAGAGTAGGCCGTTGTAATCGACCCAAACCTCTCTCCTACGTTCATTTTTCTTTTTTCTTTTGGAATATTCAATGTAATATTCCAACAGGCTGATAGGACAGTTAAAACTAGGTATGTCATTGATTAAATTTATATCCGCGTCTAGCCTAAAGTCATTACCATAATCCGCCTGTATCCTAACGGATGTAGGACCTCTTTCGGTTTGCACGGAAATTGCAAAGGTAAATCTGCAGTCCGAGCTATCCCTCATTAGCCATCTGCCAACTGCTACGTTTTTAAGAAGAATCTCACTCTGTTGCCAACTTAGATCCTCGTGATACCAACCGCTAGTTCGAAGATATTTTTTGATTTTCATTAAACGATCATTATATACCATTCTCACTAAATTACTGCAATTAAACTTGGGCGGACTCCATGGAATTCTTTTATATATATCATACATATCAGTATCAAACATGTCAGTAGTAGACGACGTTTCCTCTTTTTTCTGACAAGAAGAACACTCGTCGATGTTACTTCTCTTGATGTTATTGTCTATTTTGATTATACCACCGCCGTTGAAATTGTTAAAGCTTTTACCGGCGACAATGATAGTACTTTCAGGAAAATTAAAATTCATCGCTTTAGTTGTTGCCGTTATATTCAAGGAACATTGGTCTATATCTGGCGGTAATTGGAGAGTAGCGTTCAATTGTAATTGAATGCCATTAGAATTACGAAGAGATTCATTATCATTAGAATTATTTAACAAATCTCCCGAGGACGGATTAAATGGCAGCCCATTATTAACCATCGTTACGTTTCTTTCATCAAATGTTTCATTATCAGAATTCTTGTCTATGTGATTAGGAACTTGAGTTGTTCCTGGACAAAAGACCAAATTTTCACTAAAATTATTTGAATCTCTATTTGTCAATGGTGGCTGTTTAAGTAAATTATTTTTAAGCGGTTCCGTCGTATCTTCTTGAATGTAATTCCTTTCGGATGATTTACAATCTTGTTTAGGCATTATTTTAATATTACAAAATCCAGAATCGGATTCGTTGCAATTGTTACGTATGTCGGAATCATCCTCGATTGGTCGTTTTTCCGAACAACATTTCAACGAAGGGTTGTTCCTCCTATTTCCAGGTAATTCTTGACATCCGCTCGGTGTTTTCATAGCTATTTCATTCGAATAAATATGTTCGCGAAAGCGTGAAGAAACACATCCGCAATTTTTCTTATCCGTAGTTGAGGATTTTGCAGCTGAACTACCATCACCATCACCATCACCATCACCACCACCATCACTACCTTCGTCATCCTGATGATCGTTCGTAGATATTTTCGTTTGAACGTAACGCCCACCGACCGACAATTTTGGATGAATCACGTCGTACGGTGTTTCAACTAAGGTACAAGAATCGGTATTGTAAATGAAACAATCACCCGATTGTATGATGGGCGTTGATATGGTCACACTACCGCCAGTCAGATCGCAAGAAGTTATACGACATATTGAAGATGACATACAATCATCTCTATCATTTTTCGTCTGATTATTGGATAAATCAGAACTCGGACTTTCAATTAACAACCTCTTGGATGAATAATTGTTCTTCGTTGATTTATTATTAACGCATTTCGGATCTTCAGTTTGAATGATTTTGTTCATATGGTCATTATGACTATCGTCCAATTGGATGGAATATTTTGGAATATTTTGTATGTTAATAATTGGCGATGGATTGATCAAACAATCAGAATCGTTAGTGTATTGTTCTTCAGTCATGTACCACGTATCCTCGGTACAAGGCATTGTTTCACTACAATTGTCCGTATGTTCTTCATTCGCCAAAAATTCAAGGCGACAATTAGGGCACATCACTGTCAGCATCTTGATACTTGGATTAGTTTGCGTCACCGTTGTTGAATAAGGTACAACATTGATGGCAGGCACGTGCCGTCACCTAAAATCATATAACGAAACTAATTCATTATTTATGCTAATAAACTAATAAATATCTAATATTAAATATTAAATCTGGTATTTATATTGGGTTGTTCTGAAAGTTCGTGCCGATTTTGACGGAAGATTGAAATGCAATCCCATTTAAGTTTCTTTTTTGTTATATATTTATTACATAATAAATGTAACTATATATATATTAATAATTACAACAACAACAACAACAACAACAAATGTTTCTTTTAAAATCCAAAATCTTCATATCTATAGGGTGGTCAATTTATCATAGAACGTCGTGTGATACAATAAACGTGCGTTCTAGCGTGACCGAAGCTTCTAAGTACAGCAGGAAGTAAGTAGTTACGTACTTCTAGGTAAATGGATAAGTTACACACATGTGCATGTGCATACAGAATAAATGAATTCGTATTTTAAAAGATATTCGTGTTTTACGAATTCTCAGCGTGGTGTCTTTTAATCGTTTCGATGGCTTCCTAATGTCGTTTCTGTTAAACCTTTGAGTTGGTCGAACACAGAAGAAGAAGAAGAAGAAGAAGAAGAGTGTATTTATAAACCTGACATATGCCTTGAATCGAGAAATTTATTAGTAGCTACTTTTTTTTCCCCCCCCTGTAACAGAAATGAAACAAAACAAAAAATTCTCAACTTCCTTTGACCTTTATATATACCTCATTCTCAAATGATTCTTCCTATTTCCGGTTAATCAAAGAAACCTTTTTACAACAACTTTATCACACTTTTCTTCTTCTTCTTCTTCTTCTTCTTATCATATAAAAACAATCCTAAATTATACAAGTTATTATTATACACATTGACAAAATGCATAAGCAAGTGACGTTATTTTTCTAAGAATTCAAATGTAAAATATTATTGACGGTTATATACTGCGAAACATAAATGGCGGAAAATTACAAGAAATTCTCCTCCCTTACGATAAAATGCGACACTAAAGTAAGTAAAGGTGTACACAGTTTCAAGTATTGATCACATAAATAATGATTCCGATATTGAACAAACACATTGGAAAACTTGGAATATTTTATATACTCTTCCTCCTACGCACTTTTTTTCTTTTTTTATTTTTCTTTTTTTTGACGAATTCAAAAATCACATAACCTGTTATTTGGGCGGGAAATTGTCAATTATTAAACACGTTAAACGTATACTTTTTACGTATTTTATATATAAATTAACGAACAAATATATATTTCATAATCTTTTGATTTATTTTTTAAGCATAAATAAATAAATAAATAAATAAATACATATATAAAAAATAATATAAATTAGTTATTAAAAATGCAAGTGTAATTAAAAAGGGAATTCCTCGGTTAATAGGTTAGGAAGCTTACATAAATATATAAAATATAATATAATATAATATTTAATTTATAAAATAATATATTATATAATATATTTATATTTTAATAAGTTACTATACTATATATATATATATAAATATATCTATTTCGTTTCACATTAATATATTTATTTATAATTTATAATTAAAATTTAATTTATTTAAATATATAAAACGTGTACAGGAGAAGAGGTAAAAAAAAAAAAAACAAAAAAATTGATCCAAATTTTACTTACTTACTTATTTTCAAAAGAATTACGCTGACAAATTATTATCAAAAGTTGTGTACTCCAATTGATAAAACGTTTAATCGTATTATGTGCGTATATATATATATATATATATATATATATATATCAAAAGATATATACTTATCATTGAAAGTATTTATATATACAAATAAAAAAAAATCGATTTTTTTTATTAATATTCGATTCTCGATAAGTATATTTTCGTTGATGAATAATCATAAAATGTAATGCAACAAACAATTACGAATAGAGTTACACATTTGATTTGATTTTTTAATTATTATTATTTTTCTTTTCTTTTCTTTTCTATGTGTGTATTTCATTTTTCTTTATCGTTATCTATCCCCCCCCTCTCTCTCTCTCTCACACACATACACACACTCTCACTCTTTCCTTTTATCTAACTATTTCTATGTTAACATCAGAGTTCCGTAAATCGAACAGAAGCGTGATAAAAACGTCACACACATACATACATACATACACACATATATACACAAATACACATACAACGAATGAATTGCGTAAATCTTTCAAATGGAAGAACAGTACGGGCATCTATATCACGATTTCCTAGTAACTAGCGTGTTTTTGCGTCTATCCAAATAGTCTTGCGCAACTATTTCAACGTAAATAATCAACGAAGGCGTAATAGAAAGAAAGAGACACAGACAGAGACAGACAGAAACAGAGAGAGAGAGAGAGAGAGAGAAAGAGAGAGATATATACAGAAAAATATCCAAGTGTGATCTCGTCTAGGAACGATGTTTCTTCTTTCTCTTTTTCTCTTTCGAACCTAACACCCACCCCAACCCCACTCTTCCACCCCACTTCTCTCACTCTTTCTCATGAATACAATGTTCTAAGAGTTACATGAATACGAGAAGAAGAAGAAGAAGAAGAAGAGACTGGTTGTGGGCGGCTTTGTGAGTTCGTTTTCATGAAAGAGCATCCGAATAATACTGGTAAAAGTGTGTGAGAGAAAAAGAGAGAGAGAGAGAGAGACATATATACATACACATATACAAAATATACAGGAAGAGATATAGATATATAAGTTCATATACAAACAAGGAGGAGAGAGTCTATATAGGAGCTTATTGTGCGACGAAGCATGTGGCCAACGTATGTTTGTGTGTGTGTGTGTGTTTGGTAGGTGATTTCGTAGTATTAGTGGAGTAGCGCGAATGGCCGCTTCCACGAACTCGAGTCTCTCGGAGTTCTGCCTCCGGAGAGTGTGAGAGAGGAAAAGAGAGGAGAGAGGAAAAGAGAGGAGAGAGGAAAAGAGAGGAGAGAAGGAGCCGATCCGGTGTCGCAATGCCAAAAACTCGATCCTGTCTCTCGCCTTCTCTCTCTCTCTCTCTCTCTCTCTTTCTCTCTACCAGTCCCTTTCTATCCTCTACTTCAACCCCTTTCTTTATTTTATGTTTTTATTTTTATTTAAATTTTTCTTCTTAATTTTCATTTCTTTCCTTTCTTTCGGAAACATTTATATATAAAATTATATATTATTATTATTATTATTAGAGAAACGGGCAAAAAAAAAAATAATGAAATTCTAAAAACTGGTTGCAGCAAACTTGTATCGTTAAAGCAGCAATGTATAATAAACAATAATAAAAATTTGTTATGAAATGTCAATGCTGCAATTATGTTTAGTGTTTACTTTGAAAAATTATGAATATTTAAGAAAAATTGTTTATAAACTTTTCAAATTCACCCTATAATAATATCTTATTTATAATAAATGATAATAAGTTTTCATTTAATAAGAAGATACAGAAGAACAAAATGTAAATACAAATTGTGATAGACTTCACCTTATTCCACACATGCTGACGAAAGCAACACATCATATCAAATCATATCACTTCATGTCCTATCCTTATCCTTATCCTTATCCTTATCCTTATCCTTATCCTTATCCTTATCCTTATCATTATTATTATTCTATCATATCATTAAATATACATATGCTCGTCGTTCACGTATTATATACGCACGGAATCATCGTCAAGAGACGATGATGACGTAGATGATAATTCACGAAAAAAAAATGTCATTTGTTCGTCACAATCCACGAACGAGAATTCTCGCGTTAACTTGAAGCTCGTTTTAACGAATTAACGATTATACACCATACAACACCTTTTATCTTCGGGGTCCATGGAATTCCAAAGGTGTACATTACGCGCATTTACACTAACGCTACTATTTCGAGGAAAAATGATAATTTCTCATGTGTACCAAAAAGGGGGGCTTCTATCTTTATAAAGTAAAAATACATACACATAAAGAAAAAAAAAAAGAAAAAGAAGAAAAATAGAAAAAGATAGAAAGAGACATAGAAGTTACCAAGTTGTCTAAAATTATTCTCTCAATTTTTTATAAAACAAATATCATACACGGTTATCATTATAACGATAACAAAAAATATATTATAAGGTAAAACAAGAAGAAGAAGAAGAAGAAGAAAAAACACAAAGTTAATAGTTCGAAGAAATGATCGCGCACAAGGCTTCGTTAAAATCGATGACAAATTTCTTTCGGAATTGCAATTGGAACTCGCGAGTGATGTTTAAGAATTGTACATACATCGTATGTAAGAAAATGAATATATATATATGTGTTATATCGTGTACACGACACGACACRTACGTACACATATGAACATTTGTACATAGACACAAAAATAGAGACAAATTCTCACGTATCAACGTGATTACTTACGTATGTTTTAAAGGACGAGACGATATGGAATACTTAGAAGTGTATTTTTCGTTCGCGTGCTACGTCATGAGTCACTTCAATCATACGTAAGAAAGATCGATCGATCGATCGATTGATTAATCGATAAATAGATAAGTAGATAGATTGATTTCGTGTCTCCGAATCGTATCATAAAATCCGTCATTATTCTTCCGCTTAAGTACACGTCACTGAGCCTTGTATACATACACGTGCACACATTTTAACAACGCTCCTAGTAAATGCATACATTACACACACACACACACATATATATATAGAGAGAGAGAGAGAGGGAGAGAAATCGAGCAGTAAAATTATCAGCAACCGTTCAGGGAAAGCCTTGATAGCGATCCCAGCTTACCTCGAATCGCTTAAATCCTTTGATAGTGATCTACGATACGATGTTACCGAGAATGAGAGAACGTGCGAAGGTTGTTCCATTAACGTGAACGAGATCTGGCTATTTCATTTCATTCCTTTTTTTTTCTTTTCTTTTCTTTTCTTTTCTTGCCCCCTTTTACTTATATACTTTATTTTTTTATATAACATTTTTATCTCCTTGTTTTATTTTGTACCTATTCGTTTTCTCGAAACGTCATCGTTCTTCGCAAAACAGCA